CAGACATCAAGTTGTAGTCTTAAGATTTTGGTTACGAAAGAAAATGCAGTAGAACTTCATTATTTGTTTGCAACTAGTCATTTCATCCTTACTACAAATTCCAGGTACTTGCACTTATTCTAGGTTCATTTAAGCAACCGCCCAGTTTAGGTGGTTTAAAAGATCCAGTTACCCTCTGAGCTGAAACAGACTCGAAAAAACACTGAAGAGCTTCTCCAGACAAGTGGAACCATCTCAATTTGACTGATGAGCATAGATGATAATTTGGTGTGTGGTTCCTAACTATCAATTTAAGACAGTAGTGCAATATCGTTCTGTTCCACTGGTAAGCTCGTTCGTTAACACGCTACAGGAATATAGCATACAAAATTAACACTGAATATGCAGTTTAAAAATTCAATATCTGATGGGTCACATGTATTTGGTAGCTTAATTCTTCACCGAAAACCTCTTTTTATTTCTGAACGTTTGGTGGCAACACTACAGTGGATGGTTATTGCATGATGTTCGGTGTTGTTTTTAACTTATCAGTGCTGCTAATTGAATTTGACTTCTGATGTTTGTAATGTAGATACGAAGATGTGCGATATAAGATGTTTGCGAGTCATATATGACGCTGAACGATCAGTGGTGAGGCGTAAATCTAATTTTCCCCCTTGTTGATACTCATCAGCATGAAAAATAACCAGTCTTGAAGGAAGATATATTGTCCTGGATATTTAGACATACATCACTTAATGCCGCAGTTAGAGACGTTACTAGTGAATGATTCGGTCTATGATCTACCGTCTAAGAATGAAAGTCAGTCAATACCAGTATGAGATCTAAAATACTCCCTAATGGTTCAAACCGTCACATCCTACATCAGTACATCAAGAAACGTACAGTAAACCAAAGTGAAGGAAATAGAAATAATTAATTCAAAAGTAGTTAAATGTCCTTGGAAAAGAAAAAGTAAGCCAAACATCTAAATATAGTAAAACGATTAGCTTGAAGACCATGTGTATGTGTCCATGTACATCACTGTGGTAGATTCCAAGCCGTATTACGTAGCATCTTCAACCACTGATTTTATTTTTCATGTAGATCTCAAACTAGAGTTGAAGAATGATAATGTTTGTCACATAAGTGAATGATGTTACAGGGATTGAGATGAAGTTCAATCAGTGAAAAATAAGGGGATAATAAGCAAATGCCTATCGATTATTGTGCTCATGATTAATAATGAATGCATCTAGTCGACTGTAATCAATGATGGTCTGCTTGAACTTTGGGCTACCAAAGAAATTCTCCATCAAATATATATCAAATTCCTCTCTTTCCGTTTGTTTTAATCTCTCAAATATGTCCTCTAAACGCATAACTTACTCTTGGAGATTTTTTTAAATGTTCTGAACTAGTCGTTTATCAATATAACAACAAAATGACGGCAAAATGTCACAGTAGATGGAAATAGACTTTTGAATGCACAAAAATACATCATACTTCTATTCTTCGGATACCTATCATTAATAGTACAACCTTCCACTGGCTAAATGAATCACTACCACCACTAAACACCGAACCCTAATCCAGTACAAACCGACTGCTTTATATTTCTACCTTTGATTCTGTTATTATGAACGTCATTTAGCCGCCATAACCATTTTGTTGAAAAATATTGTTCTGGGGCTAAATTTGTTAATCAATTGCATGCTGAGAATTCTATACTGCATCAAATATACTGCTTGGAATCAAAGCTATTATTATTGTTATTATTATTATTATTATTATTGCTATCATTAAAGATAAGTTCATAAAATAACACATAAGTGTACCTTGTTTGCCGAAAATTCTAAACTTGAACGATGTAAAAGATCTAAAACATGCAGTTTTTTATGCTTATCACCATTAGAATGTCAAGTTTTGCACTTGAATAATAGAATGTAACACACTGACACTTTTTACACATATCCGTCATGGACCTCCTGAGTAAACCAAACATGTTAAATGAAACCAGCCAACCAATTGCTTGTCCTCATCACACGTGATTACTTTATTCAAATTCACCTTTGGTAATGTCATCCCAGATGGGATACCACCAAAAGAACTGAGAACAGACACAGAGACAACAGTGGGCATGCTCACTTTTACCACTGTTGCAGAAGGTGTGGAAGGAAGGGAAGAGGTACCTGCCCATTGATTGGAAGATGGGCTACCTTGTCAAACTCCCAAAGGAGGGAGACCTCAGTGTTTGCAAGAACTGGTACGGAATCATACTCCACTCCTGTCCAACTAAGGCAAGCAAAATATTGAGCTGCATCATCCTGGAGGGACTAAAGGATGAACTGGATTCACAACTACGACCAGAACAGGTTGGCTGGATTCAGGAAGTACAAATCATGTATGGACCGAATTGCCATGATTCGCATCATCATAGAACAGAGTATAGAATGGAAGTCAACTGGATCTTCACCTCAACTTCAACGAATTTGAAAAGGCCTTGCTTCGACAGCGTCGATCGAGAGGTAATTTGGAAACTGCTTCATTACTACGGAGTACCGCAAACCTTTATCAATCTCATTCAACAACTATATGAAGATGCCCCATGCCAAGTAATTCAAAATGGGAAGTTCAGTGATGCCTACGAAGTGAAGACAGGAGTGAAACAAGGCTGTCTACCATCACTTACGATTGTAGTCGACTGGATCATGCAGCAAACAGTGAGGAGCGAGAGGAGAGGGATACGCTGGCTGGACTGCAGAAAAGAACCTAGAAGACTTAGATTTCGCCAGTGGTCACTTGTGCCTGATGTCACACAAACTTGAAGATCTACAGGCTAAAACTAACAAGTTGACAGAAGAGGTAAGACAGCGAAGACAGGACTTCAAGTGAATATAGAGAAGACAGAGGTGATGAAGATACCGCACCAACAATAACAACAAACTCCAGTCACCATCAACGAGAGGAACTTAAAGGAAGTAACCTACTTCACCTATCTAGGAAGCACTGTTTCAACTACAGGCACCACAGGCACAGACGAGGATGTCAAAGTCAGCCAGGATCGGAAAAGCAAGACTGACGTTCATTAACCTGAAACCAGTGTGGAGATCCACTGCACTGCACTCAGCATAAAGCGTGAACTAGATCCGGATTTTCAACACCAACGTCAAGTCAGTGCTTCTGTATGGTTCAGAGACTTGGTGCGTTACGAAAGGGATTTCCAATAAACTACAGACATTCATCGTCATGCTTTATCTCACTGAATAGTGCATATGTAAAACTATGATACCATGGATTGGTTTTCTTTATAACTTTTGGTTGACCAATCTCCGGTAGTTCCATATATTCCTCTCGTTTTACACCTTTGGAGGAGAATGTGACATCGTTTTACACTTCATGAGATTAGTTTTTTAAGTAAGCAAGATCACATGTATGTGTATGCATACACATACATGTGTATCGATTCTGGTGATACACAGTATTGCCATAACTAAAACACAATGTATGTTACACAACATCCAAATCTTGTTATGTCATTCCTTCGCATCATATTTTCATGAATACAGAAAACCACGAGTCAATACCAGTGAAGCAAACATTTAAAAATTACAAAAGAATTGGATAGTTGTTTTATTATACTTGTACAAATTCTCAGAATCGCGTTACCATGACCACTGTCAGGTTTGAACAAAGGAAACGAAGGACCATTATGGTAATAATGCTAGTCTTTAACTAATACATCATGTTATGTTTTTCGAAAGGTGATGCAACGTAACTTTTCTTAGACAACCAGATGTATATAGTCTGTGCTGAGTTCATCCACTCCACCTCAGACTACTCGAATGTATCTTGTAAGGACACAGTCAACTAACTAGCACTAATAGGCCAAATAGTGCTTCGTTTCTGTTTCATACCTGTCAACTAACTCCGAAAGTTAATATGCAAAGCAGAAATGCGGAACTGTACAAGCAATTTGGACTGGTTTCATGAAGTGGTCTTCAGTTAGTTAAGTAATAAACTATCTACTTCTTATCCATTTGTATTGAAATCGTCATCAAGAAGAATATGCTTATGCCGTAACAGCATCCTATGAATTATTTTGCTAAACTGTCTCCTAAGTTATCTTGAGCTCATACTTTGACGCTTAGTTTTAGCAGTAAACCCCGAAATATTAGATGGTAAAAATGCCTGAATTCTAGTTTTTGATTATCCAGTTACACACGATAAGGTAACAGAGATCGTAAAAGCATCAAATAATTAACTCACTAAAGCACAAAACCAAATGCCCTAAGTTTCTAGGTTTGGAGAACGCCTTTTAATCAAATCAACATATTAACGCACTAGTTCCAACACTAGCAGTTATTTGTGCCAAATCAACTTATAATCATTTCGGAAAGTTATAGTATTTCATATATCACTAGTGAGAAAGTCAGTGAGTCAATGTCAACAAGTGAAGTAGTACTACTGATTAACAGTTTACTTCACCCCTCTCCAAACCAGCACATCAAGGTAGGAGGCACACAGACAAAAAGTAGAAAACAAGGGAAGAAAGTAACTAATAGTAGTGGAAAGTGACGAAAAGAAAGGAAGAAGGGATAAAACCATGACAAAATCCAATATTTATACTGGGTCATGATTGAAGGTGAGATGAAAATCTGGACCGCGGCCCGATTTGAACCATCGACCACCGGGTTTGATGATATATATGATGATTAAGGTGAGGATAATGTGTAGATTATCTGCACCTGTGAGATAGACTCTGAGCCAAATTAGATACAGTCTCGAATAACCGACTTTAGTTATCACAAAGAATTCAACCAGGAAGTCTACATTTCTCCACACAGCCACACATGTAATGGACTCATCCCATGTCTTATTCTGAGCACGTCTAACGTTTTTCTAGCCTAAATCTACTGCAGCTAACATTTCGTACATTTTGTAACATTTCAATGTAAAACTGTGGATATTTTTTAAAAACAATATAGTCTCACGTAAAAATGAAAACAATGCAGACTTACGATTTTTTGATCTTCAATAGATCTATTTAAAGCTTCTTCTTCATCCTGTATTTCTTGTAGACTTAATTTCTCTTCAACGCTCTGATGACCTAATACTTCACTTTGATTGTTAGATAACGTGTCTACATTTGTGGATTGTTGAGCGATATATGAACTGACATTAGGTTTATTGGTTGACGAAGGAGTAGTAAGCGCTGTTGCCACCACCGATGTGAGGTCGCCAGAATTCTCAACTAACTCAGAAGCTGATTTGTAATAACTTGAAAGATAAATTTCAGTCCTAGTCTCATCAAACCTGAAGATTTATGGAAAAAACAAGTCTCTTTATTAGTTCGAATGTCTGACTAATCGTGAAAGAAATTATATCTCATCAGAAGTTATATGAAATGTATGATATAAACAGTTTTACTAAAAACAACAACAACTCGAAGATATACCTATTTGATACCCCATGTTACAAATACGCTTACTTAGTTCATTCCTAGATAACGTCCATTGGATCAGAATGCTTTGATGGCAGCATCTACTCAGGCTGGGATACCAAAGGAAGCATAGTTTAATTCAAGGGGAGGTTATTCACTTGTAAGTGATAGCGATAAACATCAAGATATGATAGATAAATTACTGAATCGTCATTTCCTTTATTAATCTCTTTGACCTATTTTCAACTAAGTATACTAAAATACTTGGACATTAATAGCAATTTCTGGTGCATTAATTTGCTAACAATCAGTTATTCTAACAACTGAGCACTGCAGAATCGTAATATCCAGAACTTCTTTGGTTTACTGAAATCCAGTCTCAGAGATACTTGGTACAAACTCTAAGCCCAAAGTGAAAAGTCTGCTAAGTTCCGCTTACACCGTCCACTTTTTGCCTAAATCTTTCCTTTATCAACTAGGTAGGTCAGCCCATGTGGCTACGAACTTTTACTGAATGAGGTAGTTTAGAAATATGCTGCATATTATGAGCCACTACCTACCTCAAAGCATGGCTTTAGCTGAATTGGGATAAGGTGAAAACAATGGTAAGAACTGCCAGACTAGAAAATGGTAGATACCAGTACACTGAGTTCCTGATTGTTGGTCTGAATCATATAGGAAGATATAGGCTACCTGGCTAGAATCCTCAAGACGATAGAAAACAGTGGTCTGGTAGGAATCAGAATCGACCACGATGATGCAGGGGTATACACTATTGATCATCTTCAGTGTTTTCACTAGCTTTCATCTACTTGTTTGCAGTTTTCGCACACGCTTTTGTGTACTATAGTGTTATTCTTATTTTATTCACCTTTTCTTTGCAGGCTGTTGTGAAGTGTGGTAACTTGAAGTGATGAAATTGTGTACTTGGTTCTTATTTGATTTGTCTGTCTTCTTCATAGTCTTACTTCTGTTAATTACTAAAGTACTTTTATGTGACCATGATCACAATAGGAACACTAGGAACTAATCACATGATTTTTGTCTGCCTTACGTCCCGGTGATAAACTACGCCACAAAGACTAATATAACACTTTCCGTAGACATAATTCCATTTATCAACAATGCGGTCCTATAGATTCAAATGTCAGTTCGTCACTCGATAATGAAAAGATTTGATAATCAAAAGCGTGACTTATGTACAATCCCACTTAGAATATGTGTAAGCCGACTAAAGCTGTATTTCGGTTGGAGTAAGACAATTTTACTAGAACGTACACATCCACAGCTACAGAACTTCCCAGTATTCAATAGGTGTGAACATAAATCTTATCATGCAAAATTTAACGAGGTGAACTATATATCATAGTGCAGTTGACCTAAATGAGGACTGTGATCTAAAAGAAATATAGTGGACGAGAACTTTGAAATTGGTAGCAAATAGCCAAATGGCGTAATCCTTGTTTGTGCTCCATTCATTACCAGTAACCTTCACAATTTGAGAATAGTGAGTTAATCGGTACCAATAACGTGAGGAAAACAGTGAGTTGACAGGTCATCAACTCTAGTGTTACATCCAGCTAAATACTAATATGGGGAGGATGGATTGAAAGAAATATCAGATTAGTTTTCATAAATGTAGTCCATTGAGTGAGACGCTTACTCGCATCGAACAAACGCTTCTTCAATAACACTCTTCTGTGTCCCAGGAAATTTTGACATTAGGCGATTCATTATTAAACGTATGACTGGAGCATTTAAAGACTAAAAATATAGAGAAAGAATAAAAAGAAAGTAAGTGGGGAACAAATCTGTATGCTAAATAATTCATCAAGGATATTCTAAAAAATCATATCTAGTAGATATGAAAAGGTTAGAGTAGTGACTAACTCTCAGTAACTGAAAAGGATAACCTTAAAGATTTCATTTCCACGATCAACATTTCTTCATACACCAAAGACCGATAGTAGTAACTTTAGGTTATGTCTTTATCTGACCACTCTTAATTCCATCTAACAATAATAATGATAATAATAATAACTTATTGATACACTCCTAATTTACCATTATTTTATTAGATTGAACAGTTCGACCTATATAGGCATATTGGCTACTAAGCGGATGCCTCTATAGTGCCTGAGTGTTAATTATAATTTGGTTAGTTTTGGCTAGCGAAAGAATCCAGGACGCGGGTTTCATCCTACTTGAAACTCGTCAGCTGGATGTACCCGCACCCCAATGAATGGCATCGTCCCCACTGAGACTCGAACCTCGTAACCATCGCTTCAAACGCTGAGGAGTTACCCACTATGCCACGGAGAATGGGTGCAAGGCCCGAGTCTCAGTGAAACAACATCACTCACTGGGGTCCAGATACATCCAGCTGACGAGTCCTAAATAAGACGAAATACGTGTCCTGGATTCCTCTGCTAGTCACAACCAACCAAATTGCAATAATAATAATAATAGTAATGACAGAAATGGTAATAATAATGATGTTTGTTTCGCATTGTTCGCCATAGCTTGTTGAAATCTATACACAGAACAAGTCCTAGGCATCCTTTTAGGAGGAAATTAACCATTCACCGTAATTATCAAACCATTTTAACTAGTTGCACATATATGACACTGATAGCCTGTCTGGTTTCCACTGTACTCAGCTGTCCTGAAGTTGAAATTACCCAAACAACACCGCTTTCTTCATGTTTCATAGACTCTTGGTAGTCGTCTAATACAGACATACAGCATAAGAAAGTGAACAAATGGATAAATGAATAAGTTTGGCACCAGTACTGCAGTTGGTTCGTATTGGTTAAATGCTGAACTGACTGAGGTTACAGGACTTTTAACTAATACACCTACCTTAGTGTATGAAATACACAAATATTTTACGCTCTGTCTTAAAACTGGTGACTAATTTTTACTAACTGTGCGGTATGATGTTTTGCTATCAAACTATAAAGTATGAGTAAAAAGTGTATGATTTTTCACTTCAGACACAGGATTTATTTCAGGTGTCAATGTGACCGGAAAAAATATCAGATGCAACTCGAAACCGGTAATAATCCAGCCAAAAGTTTTAGAATACCATAGGAAGTTTAGAAAAGGGGTTAGAGATAATAGGTAAATGTAAAATAATGGTTAAAATAGATATAAAGTGTGGATGGAAGTAGGCCACCATGGTCTATTTAAACCAAATGACCTACAATATTCAACCATCATTCAAAGAAATTTAACAACAATTAGAATTTAGTGAATTTAATCGGATTTCTGAAAGTCTACAATACTCACCAATGCTAAAAATGTCATCAGTACCTCTCAAAAAAGAGGAATCTAACCCAAAATAGGTAGTTTTTAAGAGCAAAATTGCTGAAATTACAGTTCAGTGGCTTATAAACTACTTAGCAGTGGAAAATGTAGACGTAACTAATCTTCAAGACAATACCAGCTGTGGAACATTCATAACTAAGGAGCAATGAACTACTCGTTGGGAGATGCAGAAGCACGATATCATGTTTGCACGAGACTGAATATCTAAGGCGTCCCAAACTGGAATGTAGTAGGATTTCAGTACTTTTGCCAATTTAATCGTTCTCTAGATAGTCTCATTTCAATATGATACGTACCCTGGAGCAGCTTACAGAGGATTCAGCCGAATGTTATATACAGCACCATACTACTAATGAGTAGGTACGAATATATTCGGAAAATTTCACCATCACTTCCATTTTGTGCCACCGGACGTCATAGTTAAATTCATCACGGAAGTTAGGACAAAACATTTAAATGTAGTTATAAGTTTGACGATTTGAGATAGCCGTAGTTCGGCAAACTTGTACTGATATACTGGGTGATGATTGAAGGTGAAGTGAAAATTTGGACCATGGTAGGATTAGAACCAGTGACCAACGGGTTTTCAGCCCGGTGCTCTGCAAACTGACCTATGATAACCAGCTGCTGACAATGATTTTACTAAACTTCAATCACTAAGATTTTTGCTAGACTTCCATGTGAAATAATGACCCATTACTATCGCTCGATCGTACTTACACTGGATGCCCGTCAGGACTTCTCATCTCAACTGTAAAATGACACGAAAATAAATGGAACAGCATGCTTAAAACTGTGAATTCTCTAAACTGTTTTAGTTTCCACATTATAATCATAACTTCACGCTGTTTTATCCTCTAGTCGCTTCGATTTTTCTTTCTAGTTATATCTTCTACGGTGGCATCTGGAAGTAAGGTGTAAGAGATACATTTCATCCCACTTGAGGATGGAACCCACTGCTAAATCTTTCATTTTAATCATTTTAACACATTTTCATCAACTAGTTAATTTCAGAGTTCTGTATCGTTGAGCAATGTGGCAACTTGAACCACTGCACTTTTATGCGACGTTCTATTTTGCCCGACTAAACTTTGCAGAAGAATGAAGTGCATACGAAAGGAATATCGACAGGAATTTGGTTAACATTATTACTATAATCTCTTTCTCTGAAAAGATTAGCCACCAAGAAATACTCCAGCGAAAAATGTAAATATGGTTTCAAAAAGCCAGTGGCCTTCTGGTGGTTACTCCATTTTTTCAATAGACACAATGATCATCGACTGCAATTCTTAAGATGCTCGTTCAGAAGTTTGTGAGGAAAGTGATATTTTCTCCACTGTCGTTAAACATTTCTACGAAATTCTCGTAGAAAAGTATAAGAAAAGTAGCTCAATCACATAAGATGAGAAACAGTATGCGAATTCAGGGCCTAACCGATAATACTACCGATTGCATATTAGTAACATCATCTTTACAGCAGACATTTTATCAGTTTCATAAATTATTCACGATGAAATGTTGCAATACTCACAGTGCGGAAATCTTCAACAGAGCGCAGTAAACCCTCTTCATCATGCATAATTTGCAAAAAGGTTGAAGATGGCAGTTTTGGTGCTGCAGAAGTTCCCTTGGTAGTAACTTCTAGAAGAAATAAACGTTGCAAATCAAGAAAAAGAAATGGAAAGAAATAAAATTACTTCGCCTGGTAGGTTATACACCCGCAAAATCCTTCATTTTTACCACTCAATGAGAAATCTACACAGTACACTAAACCATACGAGACATATTTTACACGCTACAAGTCAAAAACAAAAAGATAAAAACCATTGACCACTTGCTAAATCGTCAGTAACATCATTCTAATGTTGACTGAATTCAGCTGATCACGTTTGCAATGTGACTGGTATGATTATTCGACTTATTAGAGCACTTAATCGTGTCATAACCTTGGATGTAATCATCAAAAGTCAGAGCCACATCTCATTCTGATAGACAGTCACTTGTTTGAAGCAGAGATATCTTTTTCCACACTCTAATATAACAGTAAAAAACTCACCATGAAAGAACTCATAATGTCTTTTACTGGGGTATAAAGAGATGACCTTAATATCTGACAGGAGATGAATTCTTACGACAGAGAGTTTCTTGACATTAGCCTCCAGTTATCTGATATCGTTTAAAATCCACTTTAAGCAACCAACTTTTCACTTAGGTGTTCAATGGTTGTAACTAAAAAACCCTGTTGTTCATATTGATGTACATGAGCAAGTTAAATCTGGAAAAATAGTTGCTGATTCAAATTAATTACCCAACATTTAAAAAAGAGTGATTACCAGTGATAAATGTTATGGGTTAAAGTTGAATTTCTTACAAATAAAATCTAGAGGCTGATAGATGGAATAAAGGTGGAAAAGTTAACAGGCTCCTATCGACTGAAATTATTCTAAAGACAATCAAAAGTAATTCCACATAAAGAATATGAGAAAGTATACCCGTAAATATCAGTTTCGACTGGAATATCTGTTGCTTTGACGAGGTTCTAATTCACGATTTCATAGTAGAAAGTTGAATTCTAAAATTATTTGTCACGGTAAATTCACACAGTTATGCGACAGTTATTTTAAGTTCACTGTAAAATGTCCTAGGAAAATTGAACTTTTTACATTCTAATTTTCATGTATCAATGTAGTTTACTCTGTTTATGAACTACTTAGCTTTATAACCTTACATAACACCAACGGAGACCTAGTCTCAGAACTTCATCTGTAGTTTAAAACCAAACAACAAAATATAACGGAGTCATCCTAATTTGTAAAGCCTAAAGTCTCCTGTGTTAACTATTATTTATAAAGAAAACCAATTGTGTGATGCTTTTGAAGTGAAGACGGGAGTGAAACAAGGCCACCACCTACTATCACGTATGATATTCCTGATTGTAGTGGACTGGATCATGCAACAAACAGTGAGGAGCGAGAGGAGGGGGATACGCTGGCTGAACCGTAGAAAAGAAACTAGAAGACTTGGATTTCGCCGCCACCGATGATGATTTATGTCTCATGTCTTATGACACAAACTCGAAAATGTACAGGCGAAAACTAACAAGTTGACAGAAGAGGTAGGACAGCGAAGACAGGACTTCAAGTGAATATAGAGAAGACAGAAGTGATGAAGATACCGCACCAACAATAACAACAAACTCCAGTCACCATCAACGGGAGAAACTTGAAGGAAGTAACCTACTTCACCTATCTAGGAAGCACTGTTTCAACTACAGGCACCACAAGCACAAACGAGGATGTCAAAGTCAGTCAGGATCGGAAAAGCAAGACTGACGTTCATTAGCCTGAAACCAGTGTGGAGATCCACTGCACTGCACTGCACTGCACTCAGCATAAAGCGTGAACAACATCTGGATTTTCAACACCAACGTCAAGTCAGTGCTTCTGTATGGTTCGGAGACTTGGTGCGTTACGAAAGGGATTTCCAACAAACTACAGACACTCATCAACAACTGCCTCCTACTCTGGTTCGTTACTGAAGATAAGATCAGATGGCCAGAATAATAAGAATAAACAACAAGGAACTCTGACTGGCTGCTTGGCGACGAACCAAGCAAGAAGCTATCGCTCAACAACTAAGCAGAAGGAAGTGGAGATGGATTGGATTGTGTATACACTGAGAAGGCCGACTGGGGCATCACGCGTCAGGCCAGTCGCTCGAGTGGAAGTCAGATGGGAATCGACGAGTTGGGCGTCCGAGACGAGGGTGACATGGAGGAGATGGTGCGAGGAGGAAATGAGAGCTTGTGGGCTGTTGTGGAGTCAAGGTCAAAGGATTTCAGAGAACAGAGTGCACTGGAGATGTGCTACTGAAGCCCTTTGTTCCATTAGGAACCCAAGGGACAAATAATAATAATTTGTTCAGGCTTTAGATATAAATACAGTGAGTAGGTTTATTATGCGTAATTCACAGTCAGTAAGTTAGTCGGTGGAAAGTGATCACTGTTACAGTGACTCTTGCTAACTGGTAACTGAATAACTACTGACTAACTTTACAATTTCATCATCAAACTAAGTGACATTGCCACTGAATAGCTTAAGGCAATTCACTGGAGTCCCTGAAACTAGACTCATTAGTAAAGAATAAGTACAACCTAGCAGGAATTGATGTTTTCTTTGATATTTGAGACTTGTGTCGCCCATCAGCCTAATCAAAAATGCTGCCACTGAGGTATTTCTAACCGCAACAGACAGTCCGTAGGACTTTGTTAGGTATATTAATTGAGTCTACAACCTAGGATCAGCTATTTTCTACTCTCTTACAATATAGTAAGATGAATACATATGATTTCAACAAAATACGGTTACCTAGCTTGATAATGAAACGTCCACGATAAAATCCGAAATTAGGAAAACAATAAACAGTTATTCGCTTTATTCACTAGGCAAATGGGAAGTGAGTGAAAATGCTTACTTTGTTCATGGAATATTGTAAAAGATTCATGGTCTAGATGGATAAGTTCATGGTTTCATTTTATCGAAGCTAGATAGATTGTCTGAGAAGCCTTCAACGTCACTGCACATAATATTAGAACAAACTCCAAAAGAAATGACCTTCAAACTACTTTTTTCCTTATTGCATGCTCCACTTTACAGTTTATCGAAAGTTCTAGTAAACTAAGAATACATATTCGATGGTCAGTAGAAAGGTAAGATGGTTAGATGAAATGCCATGTATACCTCCATAAATTCTTTAGCGTAGAAAATCTATACAGTGTTCAAAGCACATGGTTTAATATTTCTGCAGACTGGGGGGAATGTTTACTATTGGTCAATCTGTTTGGTCTATGTTCTTACAGTTTCGTTTGAAACTAAACAATTATGCAACAAAAACAACCATGTATAAATTAAAAATACAGATTAAAGTGATGCTAACCGTATAATGGTTTCACAGTAGTATTCATTAAAGACTGACGTCAGTTGGAGAACAATTGAAAACCTTGGAACACTCTAACTGATATCAGTCCATAATAAATTATACTATATAATCAATAAAATGCTCATAAACCTCAAGCTGCATCAATGTGAAGTGCTCATTAGTGGCATGATTACAGATGGATATCTCGAAGTTTTAATATGAAGCCGTGTTGTGTGGGTCAACCAGTCAGAAGTGAAGTGGATGCCAGTTGAAGACCTGAGTGGATAATCGCGCTACATCACGAATCGATAGAAGTAGAAAATTGTGTACCACTGAACTCCGACCTAATGACTGAATGGCTAACGCGTTCGCAGCGAGAGTCAGAGATCCCAAGTCCGGTCCACGATGAAGTCATGGGTGCATACTGCCGAGGAGTTCCAGAGTAGGGAAAAACAACCATCTCAGGTTTTCAACGGTTCTCCAGATGATGTCAGTTCATGATGAATACTACTATGGAATCGATAAAAACCAAATAAACTTCAAACTACATTACTGTATAAAGATTATCAATATTGAGGAAACATAAACTTTCGTAGATGTAGTGGGATTTTAGTTGAAGAACTAGAGTTGGCAAATCCATTGAAACTATCCATAGAAATACTTTACCAATACATGGATTTAACCTCAGTGCTGTTATATTATTATTTACAGTGCACTCTGTGGATTCAGAAGATAACAGATGACTATGAAGTTAGAATGTATTCATGTTTCAGTTTTATTTCAAATTTTTAAATAAATCAAACTGTTTACAAACACAACCAATCCGCCTTCTGACAATCAACGCGGACAGTCTGAATACCCGTATAGGTAATCGTTAATATCAGATATTTTCGCTTCGTATCTCTCTTTAATGATCAAACATAGTACTGCTCAATGTCGAAAAAACTCTTTTCAATAATGTCCTCTCCTATTTTTATGTTTATTTCGCCTTGATTTCTTCCTCCTATGCTTATTTAACGGAAGTAAATTGAAAAGATGCGTTTTACATAAGGCTTTATTTTGATTTCTGTTTACGCAACAAATCTCTTGTAATCCAAACTATATTGACAGTCAATTAGGCTTAGAAATCGAATTAAGTAAAACATATACATTAACGTATCTGCTTTCAGCGTGCATTTTCTCTGTTACACACTGAAAATATGTGAGGGGTTTAGTTTGGACCTAAGAGCAATATTCATTCCCTGAAGATGCAGACAAGTGTTCATAATGTCTCAACAGGTAAGTGGATTCAACAGTTATCTATGACTAGTCAGTTCTTCCTTAAACTTCATAAAACCTCTCTTCTTTCATAAGATATTTATGTTCACTGTGGGGAGCTGTAATACCGAAGAATACTTAAATCTACGGAGAGAACCAGACAGTGGTTTTATGTCCGGGTGTCATAAGATAATCAGCACAACGTACAGCTTGTTCAATATCCACTTATTGTTGGTGATTACCAACAAGGTGTAACTGAAAACTTAGGTAAAAATAAGTCCCTTAAGTCGATTTCAGTTCAATGGCTGAAGGACAGCTTGCTACAGTAGCTGTCTTGGGTGCAATCACTCGTGGAATCAAGAGTACTTACCTTAAGAAAGTCTTGAACGAGGAAGAAATAGTTACTCAGTACTTCAAAGTTTCCGTCAATTCCCCAGTCCATGCCAATCCATTATGTAAACCAACTT